CCGAGTTATCTTAAGATAGGGACGGATAAACAGAGGTTTACACCTGCATTCGTTCACAAGAAACATTTCCTCAGTGGCGATAGATTATAACTAGTATATTTCACTCAGTACTTGGTTTTTAAGGATTAAACAGGTTGGTTTCGATTCTTCTGACGCTGTATCACTGACGAAAATGCTATCATAAGGCTTTGTTGTAACAGTGGATTTAGGATAACGAGTGAAGTTGTGATGCAGAAATCCTATTTAATATTTTCGCTAAAATAAAAATCGCGCAAATTTTGCAGAAGATATTTTACATGCAGGTGATTTTTGGTTTGAGTAATATAATAATAATAATAATAATAATAATAATAATAATATAATAATAATAATAATAATAATAATAATAATAATAATAATAATAATAATAATATTTTATGTTTACTTGTTTTTTTTTGCGTATTTTATAAGCAAGAGTTATGTGTTTCAAGAATACATCTCTCTGTTTACTTCAGGTACATGTAAATAGTAGAACAGTATTAAATGCTATGCATATATTTATGACTATTAATTTACACAAGTGTGTGTTGAAAATGGTATAAAATACCGTCAAGTTGATGATTGAGACACATGTGCAACAGTTGGGTATATTTATTGTTGAAACGTTTCGCCTACACAGTAGACTTCTTCAGTCAAGTAAGAGAGGCAGCAGGTGTAGTTGTAGTGAAATGGATGGACTGATTACATCATCTTCATTTCACTACTACACCTGCTGCCTCTGTATTTGACTGAAGAAGCCTACTGTGTAGGCGAAACGTTTCAACAATAAAGACACAACTGCTGCACATGTGTCTCAGTCATCAACTATATGAATGCTTAAATGTAGAGATTGTTTCATTTTCCTCTTTACGTGATGGGTACACGAGGATTTTTTTTTCTTATTCGCCGGTGGTTCAATTTTTGCTGGTGTACCTACTGTTTTACCACTACGTTAGTGGTCAGTTTTTCTCCTCCCATTGTCTTCGTCTACCGTCTCCCCTTTTTATTTCTTCATCTGCATAGCCTTATACTTGTGGTTGAACTCCAGCAGCCACGTGTTTGACCACCCCTGTTACCTCTTTCTCTCTCTACGTCTACATGAAGGTTGGCTCTAAATAGTCAGTCTACATGTGTACACATTTAATATATCTCGTTGTGGGGTTGAGTTCCGGCTCCCGGACCAGCATCCTAGTTCTTCAGTTAATCAGTAAAGGACTTTCCGTGTCCCTTTGGATCTATAGACAGGGAGGTAAGTAAACGTGTGATAATTTATGAAGCTCCATTATGACTAATAATGCCTCACTGTAGGTAATAATGCACCAGTGTGGATAATAATTCACTACTGTGGGTAATAATGCGCCACTGTGGAAAATGTACCACTGTGGGTAATAATGCCCCACTGTGGGGTGAAGTAAATTATTATCTTAATTACCCACCAACAAGTAGAGTAGAGCACAGAGTAGAGAACAGAGTAGAGAACAGAGCAAGACGTCTCATCTCTCGCCTGGACCCATCCTGGATAGATCTGTCATTTCAGCAGAGCCTTCAACACAGGAGGGATGTGGGTGGCCTTACTGTTATGTACAGGCCAATATTGTCAAAATACCACACTTGGATCCACTTCGAGGACAGCGTGAAACAAGCTTTTATGCCACAAGACGGGCAGAAAGCAGCAACTTCACTCTGGCTGTACCCTTCTCCAGAACATCACTCCATCTGAGATCATATATACCCAGGATGACTCGAGTATGGAACACATTCGTACAGCATAATGATGTCAACGAGATGAAGTCAGTTGATCAAATGAAAATGCTGGCCCACAGATGGCTCCAACTTCATCCTGTTTCCTACTTGTATGTCTCATAACAATAAAAATGCTTTCAAATGAGCTGATGTAGGTAACAGCTCTTAGCTTGCCAATAAAGTTAGGAATCCTTAACCTGTAAATACTTGTCAATAAAGCTAGGGATCCTTAACCTGTCAAACCCTGTGTAAAAAAAAAAAAAAAGTATTATAAGAGTGATGAGTGGTGTCAATATGAACGACTCGACTGTCTGTTGGCAATGTTTTTTCTCCTGCTTTATGTGTTGCTGTTCCCATCTGTTTCACAAGGCTTTGCGGTTGAGTTTAGTCCCAACTCCGTCTTCGACTCTCTAGCCCTTCCTCTCATCGGCTATATTCTTCGTCTGTCCACACTGCCCCCTCGCCCCTAGTGGGTTCTTACCTGTGAGTCGTCTGATCTCATCTGATCGAACATACGTAAGTACCCTGTAAATATTTACATACGTTCCCTGTATACACACCCGAATATATTTCCATGTACACACAGATGTGTTCCTGTACACATATACAGGCACATTAACTGTACACAGACAAACATGGCCTCTCCCTCTATCTACATTTACACGTACGCTCCCTGTATGTACACAGGTATGTGTGGTGTTTACACAGATGTCTGGGAGGCAAGACATACCTGTAAGTCTGGCAGACAGATGCAGTGTACAGCTCAAGACTTGAGTCAAAATGTATGTCACGCTAGCCAGCACTTCATCAAAACACTGACTTAAAAACTCTGGTTAGAGCCCTAATGAAGCTCTAGTTAGAGCTCTGATGAAGCTCCATACATGCGAGCTCATCCATATACATCCCCTGCAACGATATATATGGGAGATATACGTTTTTGTTTATATTTGTATGAATGAGGAACACAATATGCAGTGAGGGCAAGTCCACAGTGCGCCTCACTTGTGTTACTTACTCCTGCATGACTCATGCGGGTTTAGCACATATTTTGAATTATAATAATAATAATAATAATAATAATAATAATAATAATAATAATAACAATAATAATAATGTAAAAATATTTAAATATAATAATATTTTAATAATAATAATAATAATAATAATAATAATAATAATAATAATAATAATAATAATAATAATAATAATAATAATAATAATAATATAATAATATTTAAATATAATAATATTCTAATAATAATAAAATAATAATTATTTTTATTATATATTTAATCACATTTAGAGGTTAATATGAGTGTACGTTTGCTTGTAGATAAGGACAAAATTTAATGAAAATGCCATTAAGTTTCTGCCTTATTGCAGCCTTCCTTAGTCATATTAAATTCAAGGGAGTGCGCTAGATTCGCAAGGGTCGCACAGTGCCTGGGGGGGGGGACTATGAGGGGAAATCAGGTTTGATCGGAGGAAGGGGAGGTCAGTTCCCTTTTCTTAAATCAAGAGCCCTTCTACAGCATTAAGGCGCCTTCCTTGAATTGTGTATCATGTTGATGTCAGCAACAATGTTGATGTCAGCAACAATGTTGATGTCAGCAACAATGTTGATGTCAGCAACAATGTTGATGTCAGCAACAATGTTGATGTCAGCAACAATGTTGATGTCAGCAACAATGTTGATGTCAGCAACAATGTTGATGTCAGCAACAATGTTGATGTCAGCAACAATGTTGATGTCAGCAACAATGTTGAAAATGGTGTAGAATACCGACAAGTTGATCAGTAAGACACATGTTGAACAGGTGTGTATCTTTAGTGTTGAAACGTTTCGCCCATGCGGTAGGCTTCTTCAATCAAATACAGAGGAGAATGTATTGTAGGCAGAACGATTAATGGCAAGGTAAAGATAATGTAATCAGTCCTTCACCCTTGGGAGAAATAGTCTGGGGAGGTCAGTCCCTCAAACTCCATGGTCTGGAACGATGTGAAGGTGGTCGGTCCCTCAGACTGGAGAACCTCAGCCTTCAATACACGCTCCTCTGTAGTTGACTGAAGAAGCCTACCGCGTGGGCGAAACATTTCAACATTAAAAATACCCAACTGTTGCACTTGTGTCTTCATCATCATCCATCTATATTTTGGCTGAACCTCCACTGGGATGTTGTAATGTATAATTATAACTTACTATGTCTTGTTGCTTAATCTTTGAGGAATTAGACACATGTGCCACACATGGGGAGATTCAGTCGAAGGCATTTCGCCAATCAATGGCTTTTTCAAACCCACGTCTTCAAATAAAGATAGCCATGTGTTGTAAGTATGTCTGATTTCTTGTCAGTATTGCATTACTAGTATTGTAGTGATGTAATCTATCTATCTTAGATTCTTGATTCTAAGAATATACATTTCTTATGAATACTACATAAATAACCCGCACACAGAGAGAACGAAACTTATGACGACGTTTCGGTCCGACTGAGACCATTTACAAGTAGTGTGACTTGTAAATGGTCTAAGTCGGACCAAAACGTCATCATGAGCTTGTCTCTCGAATGTGCGGGTTATTTGTTTATTGTTCCGCTCACTGTGTGGTACCTTTTTGTTGTCCTTTATTTCTTAGGAACTTGTTACTTAGAATTTGCTTACTTAACATTTTTACCTCTGGAACTTGATAGTTTACATTATTCTTTCTCCTTAGACACTTATAACATAGATTCGTGTCATTAATCTTTGCATCTTTGCCAGCCTTTGTTACATTTTGTAAATCCTTTGTTATCTAGTAAACTAGCACCCCACTGCACTATCCAGTGCGGCTATAAACTGTAGTTACCTTTTCCTGTTTCAGTTCACCATTTTACTCTGTTGGTTTTATTTTGTCAAAGTGTCCCAGCAACTCCTAAGTGGTTCACATCCACACTACTATCATCATGAAGGGCTCTATCCCTCGTCCTTTTCGCTACTCTAACCTATGACTTCCTCCTCTTAATTTCATGACATTCTTTTAGTGAATCCATGACCTGCTGAGCCCATGACCTCTTGAACCCATGACCTTTTGACCCCATGACCTCTTGATGAACCCACAACCTTGTGTTGACGAACTCAGGAGACCTCTTGACAAACCCAAGACTTCCTTCTAATGAGCCAGCTACCTCCTCTTAGCGAACCCGAGACCTCTTCTTAACGAACCCGCGACATATTCCATTCACAACCACGACCTCCTGCAGAAGGAGGAGAAGAAGGACGCAGCATCAGCGGCGGAACTGGGTCTTGAGAACGTGGGCGGCGTCTTCGTAGTGATGGTGGGAGGCATCGCCCTGGCCTGCGTCACTGCCTGCTGTGAGTTCGCCTGGAAAGCTCGTAAGCTGGCTACCGATGATGGGGTGAGTAGCAGACGGTATTATTAAAGTGCTAGAAAGCAGGTAGGTAGTGCTAGAAAGCAAGTAGGTAGTGCGGGAAAGCGAGTAGGTAATTACTTCATCAACAGAGACTCTTCTTGTGCTCAGGGGATAATAACAATGCGGTATTTCGGCTCTAGATACAGAGAACCATAAAATTAGTATGTGTATGTTATTTGTGCATTGTTCCAGTCACAGTATTGCTCCTTTATATATAATAGAAGTCCTCAGGTTGTTCTACAACTCTATATATCCTTGGTTAGGCCTCATTTAGATTATGCTGCACAGTTCTGGTCACCGTATTACAGAATGGATATATGGATATAAATGCACTGGAAAACGTACAGAGAAGGATGACAAAGCCGATGCTATGTATCAGAAATCTTCAATATGAGGATAGACTGAGGGCCCTGAATCTGCACTCTCTAGAATGGCGTAGAATTAGGGGGGGATATGGTCGAGGTGTATAACTGGAAAACAGGAATAAATAAAGTGGATGTAAATAGCGTGCTGAAAATTTCCAGCCAAGACAGGACTCGCAGCAATGGTTTCAAGTTGGAAAAATTCAGATTCAGGAAGGATATAGGAAAGCTCTGGTTTAGTAATAGAGTTGTGGATGGGTGGAACAAACTCCCAAGTACCATCATAGAAGCTAAGACTTTTTGTAGTTTAAAAAATAGGTTGGATAAATACATGAGTAGGTGTGGGTGGGTGTGAGTTAGGACCTGACTAGCTTGTGCTACTAGGTCTGGTGCCGTGCTCCTTCCTTAAGTGGAAGTGACCTGACTAGGTAGCCATTGTTCTAGGCGGGTAGGTGGTGGCATGGACCTGCTTCGCATGGGTCAGTAGGCCTCTTGCAGTGTTCCTTCATTCTTATGTTCTTATAAAATTAATTTCAATGATAGTGAAGTATGAAGGAGATGCAGCAACATATAGAAGAGAAAGATAAATGAATTAGTTATAATTAACAGTATACCAAATTTCAATACTTTATACAAGACTGTTATGTCGCTATTAAATATATTTCTTCAGAAATTTGACCACCATGTATGGAAAATAATTAACAAAAACTAAGTGCGAGGCTTCTTGAAGTTCAAGTTAGACCGCCCATTCATTTTGAATTTGATGAATTTAAGCGCTCTTCTTGCTGAATACGGCAAGCGAAAATCTGCGTACGCAATAATTTAGCAAAAAAAAAAAAAAAATAATTCTGAACCTAACGAAACAAATATATTTCATTGTGTTTGTTTATCATTAAATTAATTGTAAACTTATCTAAAATATATTTAGCTGAATTAGGCTAAATTAAATTGCCCTTGTTATAATGAGGTTAGGTAAGTTTTCTAAGATCCTTTTGGTACAAAATTATTAATTTTAACATCAACATTAATGAAAAAAATATATCTTTAAACGTATAAGAGGAAATTTTAGAAAGGACTTAATTTTTAATGAGTTCTTGCTAATTGACCAGTTTCACATATTCGGCACGACATATATATATATATGTGTGTGTGTGTGTGTGTGTGTATGTGTGTGTGTGTGTGTGTGTGTGTTGTGTGTGTGTGTGTGTGTGTGTGTGTGTGTGTGTTGTGTGTATGTGTGTGTGTGTATGTGTGTGTGTATGTGTGTGTGTTGTGTGTGTGTATTGTGTGTGTATGTGTGGTGTATGTGTGTGTGTGTGTGTGTGTATGTGTGTGTGTGTATGTGTGTATGTGTGTGTGTGTTATGTGTGTGTGTATGTGTGCATGTGTGTGTGTATGTGTGTGTATGTGTGTGTGTATGTGTGTGTGTATGTGTGTATGTGTGTGTGTGTGTATGTGTGTGTGTTCTCACCTAACTGTACTCACCTAATTGTGGTTGCAGGGGTCGAGACTCAGCTCCTGGCCCCGCCTCTTCAGTGATCGCTGCTAGGTTCTCTCTCTTTCTGCTCCTTGAGCTTTGTCATACCTCTTCTTAAAACTATGTATGGTTTCTGCCTCCACTACATCATTTGCTAGACTATTCGACTTCATGACAACTCTATAACTGAAGAAATACTTCCTAACATCCCTCTGACTCGTCTGAGTCTTCAGCTTCCAGTTGTGATCCCTTGTTTCTGTGTCCCATCTCTGGAACATCCTGTCTCTGTCCACCTTATTTATTCCACGCAGTATCTTGTATGTTGTTATCATTTCTCCCCTGATCCTCCTGTTCTCCAGCGTCCTCAGACCGATTTCTCTCAACCTTTCTTCATAGGACATTCCCTTGAGCTCCGGAACTAACCTTGTTGCAAACCTTTGCATTTTCTCTAGTTTCTTGACGTGTTTGACCAGGTGTGGGTTCCAAACTGGTGCTGCATACTCCAGTATGGACCTGACGTACACAGTGTACAGTGTCTTGAACGATTCCTAAGGTAACCGAACGCTATTCTTAGGTTTGTCAGGTGCCCATATGCTGCAGCAGTTATCCGGTTGATGTGTGCTTCGGGAAACGTACTCGGTGTTATGCTCACCCCAAGATCTTTCTCCTTACCTGGAGTTTACCTGGAGAGAGTTCCGGGGGTCAACGCCCCCCGCGGCCCGGTCTGTGACCAGGCCTCCTTAGGTCAGTGTCCCAGGATGCGACCCACACCAGTCGACTAACACCCAGGTACCCATTTTACTGATGGGGAACATAGACAACAGGTGGAAAGAAACACGTCCAATGTTTCTACTCTGGCTGGGAATCGAACCCAGGCCCTCGCCGTGTGAAGCGAGAGCGTTAACCACCAGGCCACCAGAGTGAGGTTTGCAATCTTTGTCCACCTAGCCTATACTCTGTCTGCAGTCTTCTTTGTCCTTCCCCAATCTTCATGACTTTGTATTTGGCAGGACTGAATTCGAGAAGCCAGTTGCTGGACTACTTGTTCAGCCTGTCCAGGTCTCTTTGTAGTCCTCCCTGATCCTCATTTGATTTAATTCTCCTTATTAACTTCACATCATCTGCAAACAGGGACACTTCTGAGTCTATCCCTTTCATCATGTCATTCACATATACCAAAAATAGCACTGGTCCGAGGACTGATCCCTGTGGGACCCCGCTCGTCACAGGCGCCCACTGTGATACCTCATCACGTACCATGACACGTTGTTGTCTCCCTGTCAGGCATTCTCTGATCCGTTGCAGTGCCTTTCCTGTTATATGCGCCTGATCCTCCAGCTTCTGCACTAATCTCATGTGAGGAACTGTGTCAAAGACCTTCCTGCAGTCCAGGAAAATGTAATCAACCCACCCCTCTCTCTCTCGTGTCTTCTGTTACATTGTCATAAAATTCCAGAAGGTTTGTGACACAGGATTTGCCTTCCATGAAACCATGCTGGTTGTCGTTTGTAATCTTGTTCCGTTCCAGGTGCTCCACCACTCTCCTCCTGATAATCTTCTCCATGACTTTGCATACTATACACGTCAGTGACACTGGTCTGTAGTTTAGCGCCTCGTTTCTGTCTCCTTTCTTAAAAATGGGGACTACATTTGTCGTCTTCCATACCTCAGGTAGTTGCCCAGTTTTAAGGGATGTGTTGACTATGGTCAGTGGCACACACAGCATCTCTGCTCCTTCTCTAAGGACCCACGGGGAGATGTTGTCCGGTCCCATCGCCTTTGAGGTATCAAGGTCACTTAGCAGCTTCTGCACCTCCTCCTCCGTTGTGTGTATTTCATCCAACACTTGTTGATATATTCCCTGTTGGTATCTCCCTCTGTGCTGTCTTCCCAGATCCCTTCCTGTCTCGTGTTGAGCTCGTGTTGAGCTCCTCACATACCTCATGATCGTTTCTTGTGAGTACCCCACCTTCTTTCCTCAGCCTGATCACCTGGTCTTTGACTGTTGTCTTCCTCCTGATGTGGCTATACAGCAATTTCGGGTCAGACTTCACTTTCGATGCTATGTTGTTTTCGTACTGTCGCTGGGCCTCCTTCCTTACCTGTGCATACTCGTTTCTGGCTCTTCGACTAATCTCCTTATTTTCCTGTGTTCTTTGCCTTCTGTACTTTTTCCATTCTCTAGTGCACTTAGTTTTTACCTCCTTTTACCTTCTGGTCTTCCCATTATTTCTGTTGCCCTTGGGAACAAACCTTTCCTCTGCCTCCTTGCATTTTGTTACGTATTCCATCATTTCGTTTACTGAATTACCTACCAATTCTGTGAGTGTGTCTGTGTGTGTGTGTCTGTGTGTGTGTGTCTGTGTGTGTGTGTCTCGTGCAATTAAAGCTGAAGTGGACAGTTTGGCTATTCGGCAAGGGTCTTCTTTGTCGAACTAGCAGAATTAAAATTTGTTTTTACCATATATCAGCGGATATCAATCAGAATTCCTTGCTAAATGTCGTCGAATAAAAGTGAAAAAAAAAAAAACAGCCTTACTACTGGAAACATTATTCTCGTCTAATTTCGGAGTACAAGTTATTCCATTATCAGATATTCTATAAAATCAGAAAAAGAAATCAAATATGAAAGCCCGATCATGTTAGATACTAAAATAACAATAACACACGTTAAAAGAAAATTGGAAATATCAAAAATTAAGTAGCATGACTGACCATTCATTACTCTACATTACACTACATTACTCTCCTTCTCTCAGATGACTTATATTTGTAATAATGTGAGGTAAATTAAATTTTTTACAGGGTGGACCGGTAAACCAGCACAAGGCGTTAGTCCCATGACCAAAATCTCCACTGAGATTATCAGCCTATGACTGAATGCCGCATCAGGAGGAATTATTTTTTACATTTCTTCAAACGAATAAAATATCCTTTGTTCCTATTTAGTTGAGGAACGTTCACCTCACCCACTCGGTGTGTTGCAGGTGACCTTCAGCGAGGAGCTGTGTAAGGAGCTGCTCTTCATAGTCAACTGTAAGGAGAACTCCAAGCCGGTGCGCAAGAAGAGTTCCTCCTCCAACACAGACTCTTCTTCAATCTACGGCTCGACAAACTACGGCTATACAGACAAGAAATGACAAGAGCAGACCATCATATCTTTACGTAGAGTCCAGGAGATTATCGAGTCCAGTTTGGGAGCTTCTACTCTCCAAGAGTTCCTTCAGTTCACAACATACTTCAGTTCTGAAGCTTTTTGAACCCAAGAGTTCCTTGGTCCAGGACCTTGTATTGTGGAGTCCAGAACCTCCTTGAGTCCACTATGTTCTCGAGTCCAGTGCCTCCTTGAACTCACGAGGTCTAAGAATCCAAGACTTCTTTGAGTTCACGAGGTCCACGAGACCAGGACCTTCTTGTGCTCTTGAAGTCTTCAAACCCAGGACCTCTTCAGCAGTGTTGATGAAGTGGCTGGCATTCTTCAACAACCTTCTGCCTTATCTTCCATCACCCGGACAGACTCAGTCATTGTAAACAACGTCCTGGAATCTGGATCAGCTTGTGGCTTATTTATCAGCCTTTTTCTTATATTAACACAGGTTGTGATGTACAAGCATTAGTGACGAACGTAGACTGAAAATGCTTATGTTACAAGAAAAGAGAAAACACATTTTTAGCAAGGTATGGTATGATAGGCTTTCGTAAAATCAACGAAAGCATACATATCTCAATGACAAAAAATTCACTTGTAGTGAGACGCATCAAAAGAGACGTTTGAGGTGGAAAGAAACAACTCTTTCTTCCCTCCTCCTCCTCACCCCCACCCCCTAGCTTTCCAAAAGAAAAAAAATCTCAGAAAGAAAGGCATCCTGACATCTCTAAAATTTAGCTAAGAAAAATTATTCTTTTCTTGAGGCTTGATGATAATGCTCAGCTTTTTAGCTCTAAGTAATAATATAGGTACGTAACTCAAGTATTGGTTAAGACAGTAGTTACTTGTGAGAAAAATATTATAAGTTTTGTAGTTAAAAGCTTTTGTTGATAATAGTATCAACAGTTTTAGATGTTGAATAAATTGTGTTTTTCCCCTTCCAAAACAGTGGATACATGCATAAATTTATACAGTTGATGAGCAACTCAACATACTTGTAATGAATCACTGTCTTTCTAATTATTCTTTTTGTTTTTTTTAGTTATAAAACATAAATTATTTTACTGTTGCTTATATTGTTATTAGTTATTCAACGTCACAAAAGTCTGGAAGGTTTCGGGACATTGTTCCTCAAATTCAACACCTGATAATACCCGCCCTTACTCCAACAGTTCATTCTCTCTACTAAGTCTCAAGTTGATAATGTCTTCTGTACTCTCCGTCATCGTCAATGTTCTCGCTTTTCTTCTCTCCCACAAGATTTCTGTAACTTTCTCACTACTACTGCTGTTGACAGTAGTGTAGCTGATGTGTTCATCTAGTTAACAGAGACTGCTAGTTCCGAAATAAAAGTTAATTCCAATTACATTAAAGGTTTTCACAAGAGTTCTGAATGGATGGGTGCAGGTCAGGAGCTGCATCCAGTTGTCCCGAAACCCTCTTTGAGTGATGTTGTAAATGGTGTAGAAAGCCGACAGGTTGAAGCCTCTGACACTTGTGCATTATTTGGTAATCTCTATTGTGGAAACGTTTCGCCAGCCAGCGGCTTCTTCAGTCCATTACAGAGAAGAACGGTGGAAGATGAGGAGAAATTTGAGGTATTCAGTCGCTCAGCCTGGAGTCGATGTGTTCAGTCCACCATTCTTCAGAAAAGTACAGCATATGCGTGAAGAAGTGGCTTATATACTGCAGACAGGTGAATTGAAGCAGCAGGAGGCTGCTTTGTGTTCGTCTCTCTGCTGGACTGAATAAACCACTGGGTGGTTTAAATAACAGAAAGACACGTAAGCAAACACTATGACATATTTATTAGAAAACGGTTCGGTCCTGGGACCTTGATCAAGAGAAGTGATCAGGGTCCCAGGACCGAAACGTTTTCTAATAAATATGTCATACTGTTTGCTTACGTGTCTTTCTAAACCAACTTGTCGGTATTTATTACCAAGGTTTATGCCACCTGTACTTGTACACCTGCAGCTACACACACAGAAAGCCTAGCTCAGCAAAACCATTCACAAATTTTATTTTAGGATACATATGCTTTATAAGGACATGTGAGTAAACACTAGTGTTGCTCACGTCTCTTTTAAACCACATGTTGGTATCCATTACCAAGGTTTATGTACAATGGAGTGAGACCTAGCTGTGGCGGGCCAGAGGAAGTTGACCACTGAACGGGTCATCATGTGATGTACACCAGTGCCAGAAGACACTATTTCCTGGCGAATAAATCACCATAACTTACCTTCACATGATATATAATGATACAGAGCAGTGTGTGTACATACGCCCAGAGTTTACTTTTATCCCTGTTTTACGTAGCATGGTATTTGTGAAGTAAAAGGTTTATAAAACCGACAAGTTGAAATATAGACACTTGTGCAATATGTCGCCAGTCACTGGCTAGCGAAACATTTTCTCAATAAAGATTCAGAAATGTTGTATAAGTGTCTCATTCTTCAACATATCATGGTATTATTGAATGGTAGCGCATGTACACTGAGAGGGTGTTTATGGTTGTATATATATATATATACACAAGGATGTAATATACTTCAGAAGTACATTCTTGATGACTCGTAGACTTAATAATTATTAAACCACCAGACTAACAAACCAGTAAAACTCTGTGGTAAATCGCGTGCATTTATTATTACCTAAACTAGTCAGATGAATGAGAGTCCAAAACACACAAAGAGTGCAAATAACGAGAAGGGTTTAAATAATGAAGCACTATAGTTGATGCTGGTACGTGATCGTTGCCATGGAACCTACAGTACAGGAAGCAGCCTCCGGAAGCTCTCGCTACTTCCCGAAGCATCCCTCTGAGACTCCTGGTGCAACACAGTAGGCACTGACGGAGATGGTGGTACCAACGAGGTAGGAAGTGGAGGTGAGGGTGATTGTACTGACCGAGGTGTACCAGATGGTGAGTATTTTACCATCTCTGTTGTTCACCAGCTGCCTGGAGCCTCGCCGCGGTGGATAAGCTTCCTCTTCATTCGTCTCCACCTCTGTCTGGCTTCCCGTCAACTCCAGCAACAAATCTTTATCGTGTTGCAGTTCACTGTGTGGGAGAGTACAGACCAACGTGGTCAGAAAGATGTAAAACTACTACGTGGGGAGTTGTATGATAGTTTCAGGCCTTTGCGTTGCAATCACATTATCAGGAGCTTGCAATGTTGCAGAAATGAGTTGGAAGTCCAGGCAAAAACTAGAGTAGTTTTTATGAGCGCTTCTACCTGGATTTCCTAATCAGGTAGAAGCAACATCGCAAGCTCCTGATGATGTGTTGTTTGCAACATTGAAAGGCCTAGAACAATCTGTTCTCTTCCCATGTGGTTGTTTTGCGCACACACACACACACACACACACACACACACACACACACACACACACACACACACACACACACACACATATGAACCCGATATAAGTTGTAATAATCGACTGTAAATAGATAAACGAAAATGAAGGAGGGGATCAAACCATGGTCCTGGTACTGACAGGTCCAGTGCTTTACCTCTCAGTTCCAGTTCTTCACTCCTCCAGTCCTTCCTACAGTCCTTCACCCATACAGTCCATGACAGTGCTCTATACCCCGTCACGGGATTAGCACTTAATATAAATATATAAGTATTATATAAAGTAAGGTTAAGTACCACTTACGGGTAACTGGAGCGCTTCTTCTTGCGTCTACCAAGGCAGCCAACAGAACCATCAAAGGAGAGGCAAGTGGAGAGCGCTGTTATGGTGGTGGTTGTGAGACTGCGAATGAAGGTACCGGTGAAGATGGCGAAGAATCGCTCCTGCCTCCTGGGTGCGTCAGATCTCTCCTCCAACACTACGGAGAGAGACTTTTCACGTCGTGGTCAAGGCGGCCACCATCTGATGTAGTCACTGTCATGGCCGCCAGTACCAGTAGACCAGCCAGCATTACCACACACACCATCTGTGATACAGCACTTCACACAGTAGTAGTAGTAGTAGCAGCAGTAATAGTAGTAGTAGTAGCAGCAGTAATGGTAGTAGTAGTAGCAATAATAATAATAATAATAATAATAATAATAATAATAATAATAGCATTAGTAATAGTAATAATAGTAGTAGCGTTAGTAATAGCAGTAGCAACAGTAGTAACAGTAATAACAAGAATAGTATTAGGAGTAGTAGTAATAATAATAGGCGTAGTAGTAGTAGTAGTAGTTTTAGTGGCAGTAAAAGTATTATTATCAATAAAACTAAATGTGTTTCTGTCTCTGAGGTATTCAAAGTCTGCAACCTCAGCCCCTTCTACCTAGCCACACACAATGGAAACAGTACAGAGTGCGGCAGCAATTTCTCACACAGCTAGAAATCAGCACTGAAGATCTGAAGCCAATCTAATGAATCATTCACAAGGTATAACACGGATACAAACATACCACCTACACAGATCAAAACCTCGAGTACAATACACCAGTTTTGAAAGTTTTAAGCCGATCAGAAGCAACATTCTCTAGTTACTGAAAAGACGCCACCGTCCAAAAGTGCATTAGCACTTAAAGTATGACGTCACTCTGGTGTTAAATGTTTGAAGTCAGTCAGAGGTGTTGCTTGCTTACCATCAACCAACACCTCCCAGGTATGGTAATCATCCCGTATACATCCCATATAAAGCTTCTACACTACAGTACACTATGCATACAACACACACTACAGTATACTGTACATACAACACACACTACAGTACACTGTGCATACAACACACACTACAGTATACTGTACATACAACACACACTACAGTACACTATGCATACAACACACACTACAGTATACTGTACATACAACACACACTACAGTACACTGCATACAACACACACTACAGTATACTGTACATACAACACACACTACAGTACACTATGCATACAACACACACTACAGTATACTGTACATATAACACACACTACCATGTGTTTATTTAGACAATAATAATCACATGAAAATGGAGTCTTTATACTAGTGATAAACTCTTGCTCTTAGAAGTGGGATCAAGCCTCCATTTCCTCGGATTAAGAGCAAGTACCACCCATTCCCCAGGTTCTGTATAACACATGTGGGTCGACCGCTCCCCCCTTCTCTTTCTCTCACTTCCTCGCTTATAAAACCTTATTGCAATGCTGAACAATATTCTAATTTCCATATTGAAGTCTGCCAGCTCAAAGTAACACTACTGAAGTCTGCCAGCTCAAAGTAACACTACTGAAGTCTGCCAGCTCAAAGTAACACTACTGAAGTCTGCCAGCTCAAAGTAACACTACTGAAGTCTGCCAGCTCAAAGTAACACTACTGAAGTCTGCCAGCTCAAAGTAACACTACTGAAGTCTGCCAGCTCAAAGTAACGCTACTGAAGTCTGCCAGCTCAAAGTAACACTACTGAAGTCTGCCAGCTCAAACTGACACATTTCAACACCTTGTACCAGCACCATCCTGTGTGACGGAATACGACATGTTTAACACAGGTTTTGTTCCCACCATGTAACCATCATATAGAATAGCGAAGCAACACACTTCTGACGCATCCAATTTAGTTTAATAAAGAAACAATAAAGAAGAAAGAGTCGCCTCACCAACACCAACCTTCACTTGTAAACTCACATAAGAACTCTATCACCCTGGGCTGGTGTTTATATATTGCTCCTCCGGCACGCTTTTTACACTGCATAACATTATAATTATTTTACCCTCGCCGCCGTCCTGAGATGGGGAAAACTAATTGCAAAACATGGATGCGGCATCCAGCGCCAGGAAAGCAGCTACTGTCTGGAATCCTCCCGCGTTGTTGCACGTAGCTGGGAAACCTGATACATGAGGAGTCGAGGATACTACGCTTTGGGAATGAAGATGAAGAATCAGACAAATGTACAACAACTGGGTATCTTTATTTGTAGATGTATCGCCATCCAGTGGTTTTATCAATGCAAATTCAAGGACATAATGGGAATAAACCATGTCCACACGACACGTGTGCAACACTTGGGTATTGTTAGAAATAAACATACCCAGGTGTTGTGGATGTGTCTTATTCTTCAACTTGTCGGTATTGTGTACCATAAAAAAATATGATTACATGTCCAGAAAGAGGTGTCAAAATTAATGAATCTGACGTCACGGAAAAGGTTAAGTGTTGATACTAGGAGGTTAAAATTTTATGGCATAGAACATACATTTTTGCTTTAAAACTTTTGTTGTGGACAATATTGTAGGTGTGTAATGATGGATGGGGAACACAGGAGAAGAAACCAGAGTGAACCACACTGACAATAACTTTGAGACCTTTGGCTTCGGTTATGAAGAATGAACAACAAAATGTATTCACATCTTTTATAGTAGACCAGTCAGAATTATTTGTGGTGCAGCCAATTACGGTCTGATGACTGTTGTACCTGCCAGAATACTGATGGTACAAGTAACTCCAGATTTATATCTCTTTTGATAGCCAAAATTATTGTGAAAGGTGTTACGACTCACTAACAAGTGCAGCTGGAGACGATGTTACGACTCACTAACAAGAGCAGCTGGAGACGATGTTACGACACACTAACAAGTGCAGCTGGAGACGATGTTACGACTTACTAACAAGAGCAGCTGGAGACGATGTTACGACTCACTAACAAGTGCAGCTGGAGACGTTGTTACGACTCACTAACAAGTGCAGCTGGAGACGATGTTACGACTCACTAACAAGAGCAGCTGGAGACGATGTTACGACTCACTAACAAGAGCAGCTGGAGACGATGTTACGACTCACTAACAAGAGCAGCTGGAGACGATGTTACGACTCACTAACAAGTGCAGCTGGAGACGATGTTACGACACACTAACAAGAGCAGCTGGAGACGATGTTACGACTCACTAACAAGAGCAGCTGGAGACGATGTTACGACTCACTAACAAGAGCAGCTGGAGACGATGTTACGACACACTAACAAGAGCAGCTGGAGACGATGTTACGACTCACTAACAAGTGCGGCTGGAGACGATGTTACGACTCACTAACAAGTGCAGCTGGAGACGATGTTACGACTCACTAACAAGTGCAGCTGGAGACGTTGTTACGACTCACTAACAAGTGCAGCTGGAGACGATGTTACGACTCACTAACAAGAGCAGCTGGAGAGGACATCAAAACAACACAGACAAGTTGATGAATAAGACACATGTGCAACACCTAGGTATCTTCATTGACGAATAAGACACGTGTACAACATCTAGTATCTTTATTGATGAATACGACACATGTACAACACCTAGTATCTTTGTTGATGAATAAGACACATCTACAACACCTAGATAACTTTGTTGATGAATAAGACACATGTCATGTGGGTTTCGAAAACGTGGATAGGGTAAAAATACTCACGTAGGCTGGTAGTACGTATAATATAACGGAAAGTGTGGGAAGCGCCAACAGCCGACCTGCCTCTCTCTGGCTCCCTGACTAGACTGACCCGTGAGTGCTTATGGGCGAGGGGGTGTTTGAAATCCTGCTATGGTCAGCAGCAATATGAATACAGTCAGTGATTCACGCAGAGACGGTTGGTAGTGAGTCATCTACTGGTACACTGGTTACTGGTAACTGGTTACTAGGAACTGGTACTACTACTGAGACACATGTGCAACGTCTTTGTATCTTTATTGATGAATAAGACACATGTGCAACACCTAGGTATCTTTATTGATGAATAAGACACATGTACAATACCTAGGTATCTTTATTGAAGAATAAGACAAATGTACAATGCCTAGGTACCTTTATTGATGAATAAGACACATGTACAACACCTAGGTATCTTTCTCAGTAGTAACAGTTCCCAGTAGTACCGGTTACCGGTAACCAGTTGCCAGTAGTATGACTCACTACCAACCGTCTGTGTGAATCACTGTTGTTCACTGACGTTACAGCTGACCATAGCAGTTTTTGAACGCCACTCACCCCTAGGACCCAATTCGTGAGTCAGTCTTAAGATAGAGAGCAGAGAGGCAGGGCGGGCCTGGTGCTTCCCATATATTCCGTTATAATTATACTAGAACATCCAACGTGAGTGTTATTACCCAATCCACGTCATCGAACCCCCACACATGACAATTTGGTGACAGCGGTGTGATAAGATAAGATAAGGCCGTGGATTTACGGGTATTTCCGATGTTGTTCAGGTAGAGGATAAGTTGTCACCTGACCAGTGGGTCAGTGCTATTTCTACCGGGGAGACCTCATCCACTTCACTGGATCAATCCGTTCCACCAGTTGAGGAGAAAGACTTAGCTCCCACTGACTTCCCAGACGAGGTCAAACGTTTGTTGGCTCTGTTGAACAAACGTCGTAAAGTGAGACGATGGGTATAATGAACTTATTGTCCCATCATATCCCACTTGAACCTGATGCTAGACCTATCTATATACCTGTGTACAAAATGCCTCATTCACAAGTTGCTGTCGCAGAAGAATTGATCAAGCAAATGCTTGATGATAGAGTTATTGCACCTAGCAATTCACCTTGGAATGCACCCTTGATCCTAGTACCTAAGAAGGATGGTACTTGGCGCCCAGTGATTGACTTTAGGAAGTTAAATGCGAAAACTATTCCAGATCGCTTCCCACTTCCTGTACTTGGTGATCTTTTATGTAACATCGGAGATAACAAAATCTTTTCGACCCTGGACCTGTTACAAGGGTTTTGGCAAGTCCCTCTTCACGAGGACAGCCAAGAGCTAACTGCATTCTCCACTCCTACAGGTCATTATCACTTCCTCCATATGGCCTTTGGATTATGATCCTCCCCTATCACGTTCTCAAGGCTCGTGACTAATATCTTTAGAGGTCTCATAGGTAATGCACTTATGGTGTACTTAGATGACATAATCGTCATGTCTAAAGACGTGGATACACACTTGAAAAGACTTGATGTAGTACTTGGTAAGCTTGAAGAAGCCAATTTAAAGATCAAACTGTCTAAATGTCAATTTTTCAGATCAGAAATCAAGTTTCTTGGTCACGTAGTCACTCCTAGAGGAGTCACGACTGACCAAAGTAAAGTAACTGCAGTACTAAATTTTCCATCTCCCAAAACTGCTGATGCCGTAAGATCCTTTGTGGGGCTTAGCAGGTTTTTATAGATCTTTCATTGCCAATTTTTCTTCCATAGCTGCTCCTCTAACTGAGTTGCTTAAGAAAGATGCTCCTTTCCTTTGGACCTTCCGTCAAGAAAGAGCATATCAAACTTTAAAAGAAAAGCTAACATCTGCTCCAATTTTGAAATTTCCAGATTTTTCTAAGCCCTTCTATCTGACAACTGATTCTAGTTCTATTGGCATAGGTGCCGTACTAGCTCAGAAGACTGATGGCAAGTACAACGCAGTTGCATTTGCTAGCCGAGTCCTTACGAAGGCTGAACATAATTATACAGTAACTGAGCAAGAAGCTTTAGCAATAGTATGGTCTTTAAAGCACTTCCGAGACATTATTTATCAGTACCCTGTTCATGTCTTGACATACCATGCTCCACTGATACCTTTATTCCAGAACAAACAATCTACTGGAAGGTTAGCCAGATGGACCTTGGCTATCCACTTACCTGGCAAGTCAAATGTAGTCGCAGATGCTTTATCGCGACATGTTAGTATAGTAACTGTAGACCCTCCATTTACTGCCGAGGATGTAAAGAATGCTCAACGAACAGATCCTATGTGGTCAGGTGTGATTCGATTCCTGCTCCAGGAAGATCTTATTCTGACTGTGAAGCCACCAGCACCCATCAGTGACTTTGTCATGAACCAAGAATTACTGTATTGAACAGCCGAGTTGGGTACTCCTAGCAGAATGGTATACCAGCTAGTAATTCCACAAACACTAGTGAATGTAGCCTTACAGCTAGTTCACAATGTACTAGGTGTTGCGCACCCTGGTATGGCTTGTTCAGTAAAACAAGCCAGATTGAAATACTTTTGACCTCGTATGGCAACTGATATTTCTGAGTATGTTAAGAAATGTAGTGTCTGCATGCAACATAAAGGTAATGCTAATGGTCCTAATCCAATCCAAGTGTATCCAACTACTAACGAACCGTGGGAAAGAGTTGCACTAGATCTGTTAACTAATTTCCAATGTTCCCTCCAGGGCAACAAACATCTGTGTGTTTATGGTAGACCATTTCACCAGATATTGTGAGTTAGTTCTTATCGCAGATAAGACTGCCGAGACAGTAGCTAAAGCGTTTAAAGAACGCATTATCTGCAGGCATACCACCCCTAAGTCCCTAGTAACAGATAATGGAGGTGAATTCTGTAATGAGATTCTTGAAAATTTGTGTACCTTGTACAAGATCTCTAAATCCACCATTGTTCCTCATCATCCTGCCAGCAATGGGTTAGCGGAACTAACCAATAAGAAAGTACTTGATGTCTTAAGAGCCACTATCAATCCCAACAGTGAAACTTGGGATGAAGTTATACCTGATGTGCAGTGTGCTATAAATTCTGCTTACAATGTTTCTATAGGTGACACTCCACATTATGCATTGTACGGTGTAGATAAACGTTTGCCTTATGAGTTGCTATATTCTAATCAGAAACCAAATTACAACCCTGATGATTTCATAGCAACTCGTACCAGCTTGGCTCAAAGCGTCTTTAGAAGAATCCGTGAAACACTCCATAAATCAACAGCAGAATTTACAAGAGTCGCTAATACTTGTGCAAAGCCATCCATAATCAGAGTAAGTTCGAGAGTTATGCTGACTAACTTTAACAAAACGTCTACAATGCCTAAGCTTGATCAAAAGTTTGTTGGTCCATATCGAGTAGTTGAACATATCACTGGCAATAAGTATAAGGTTAGAGAAATTAGTACTGGTCAGTATAAAGAATCGCATTTAGATCATATGAAGTTAGTACATATGTGATGATAATGATGTTCAAACCCAGACTAATGTGACAGACTCTGACAATCCTCCTGATCCTGTACTCTCTACCTCTAATACTCAGTCAGATGATCAGCCTGAATGTCGTTACTCCCTACGTACACGACAGGTATTGAGAAATCCTCAAGCATCATTTGTAACTACTAATTCAGTTTTGCCTCAAATACGGCATGAGTTAGCCAGTGCAACAGAGTTTGATCCTCCCACAGATGACACCCATTCCGCATATGTCAATCTCACCCTAGCAGAGTTGGGGTTAAATGTAAATAACCTGTATAGATGAATAATTACAGTATCAACTTATCAATATTCAAGATTTTTTTTGTGTGTTCACATTCTATCCGAATTCTGAGATTTAACAGTCTAGATTTGAGTGCACCGAATCTGCCTTTCTGTTAAACACTTCTTTCTTTGTATATATTCCTTCCTCAGAATCCGTAGATCACATGAATACAGATCGATCGATCAAATTTTTTTTATCACTTTTATTGTGTAATCCCAATGTTGAGTTCATTCGATGAGTTGTGCTATATTATACCTTGTAATTCATTACAGTTTCATTACAGTAAGTTTCATTACAGTTTCATTAAAGTGAGTTTCATTATAGTCAATTACGTTAGCTTCCATTCCAATATTCTATTTATGTATGTTATAATGTTCCATTGTTGTGTACTTTGACATTGTATAGAATCAGCCCAAGCCATACAACTGCTGTCTCTAGTTTGTATTAGCTGTATGTCGGGATGACATACGTTAGTGTCGCCGAGCTCTCAGTAGCATCAGTTCCCAGTAGTACCGGTTACCAGTAACCAGTTACCAGTAGTATGACTCACTACCAACCGTCTGTGTGAATCACTGTTATTCAGTGACGTTACAGCTGACCATAGCAGTTTTTGAGAGGGAGCAGGGAGCTGAGACGAGGCGGAGCAGGAAGCTGAGAAGAGAGGGAGCAGGGAGCTGAGACGAGGTGGAGCAGGAAGCTGAGAAGAGAGGGAGCAGGGAGCTGAGACGAGGCAGAGCAGGGAGCTGAGACAAGGAGGAGCAGGGAGCTGAGACAAGGTGGAGCAGGGAGCTGAGACGAGGCGGAGCAGGGAGCTGAGACAAGGTGGAGCAGGGAGCTGAGACGAGGCGGAGCAGGGAGCTGAGACGAGGCGGAGCAGGGAGCTGAGACGAGGCGGAGCATGAAGCTGAGACGAGGCGGAGCATGAAGCTGAGACTAGGCAGAGCATGAAGCTGAGACGAGGCGGAGCATGAAGCTGAGACGAGGCGGAGCATGAAGCTGAGACGAGGCAGAGCATGAAGCTGAGACGAGGCGGAGCATGAAGCTTGGACGAGGCGGAGCATGAAGCTGAGACGAGGCAGAGCATGAAGCTGAGACGAGGCAGAGCATGAAGCTGAGACGAGGCGTAGCATGAAGTGAGACGAGGCGGAGCATGAAGCTAAGACGAGGCAGAGCATGAAGCTGAGACGAGGCGTAGCATGAAAGTGAGACGAGGCGGAGCATGAAGCTGAGACGAGGCGGAGCATGAAGCTGAGACGAGGCAGAGCATGAAGCGAGACGGCGGAGCAGAAGCTGAGACGAGGCAGAGCATGAAGCTGAGACGAGGCAGAGCATGAAGCTGGAGACGAGGCGAGCATGAAGCTGAGACGAGGCGAGCATGAAGCTGAGACGAGGCGGAGCATGAAGCTGAGACT